ATAATGCCTTTGACCCATTTACACTATGTTCTAAGAATAACAGAAAACACACTGCCTCTGGTGACTTCACAGGCTTCTCTTTTTGATTTGTAAATTATTTCAGAGGTAATCAAAATCGCTGTTCAATAGAGTGCCACAGTAACGCGTCCTAAAAGCCGGAAGTAAACTCCTTCCGGTTCCTTCGACAAAAACGCAATGCAATTTCTCCATAGGATTTTGGAAAATAGCTCGAGATAAGGTCTGTGGTTGACACACATTTAAGAGACGGATCACGTTTTGTTCAGCCGGATAATCTCCACATGTCTACCCTACTTTTATAATTTTGGAATCATAAATCTAGTCACCAGAAGCTAAATGCTAACGTTATGCTATAAACGAACTACAGCAGGGTTGCTGCTTCAACGTCACACCAACTTAAGATCCATATTCAAAACTACAGATTCAAAATGGTACAAGTTGAAGCGTTTGTTTGAACAGTTTGCAGGAGGCAGGTACTTGCTTTCAAGCAGAACAGGGCAAAGAAACTTAGCGGGAGTGTTCACGTGTTCGGTGTAATGACGTAAAACGGCCTGGACAACTTCTGTAGTCCTATTCAGCCACTTGTTAACAACCATCGTTTTTCAGACACGTAAACTCTTCAAAATCACCAGTGGGGTCACTGCTGATGTATTTAATGTCGTAGAACAAAACGTGATCCATCTCTTCAATGTGTGTCAAACACAGACCTTATTTGGAGCTATTTTCCAAAACCCTATGGAGAAATTGCATTGCTTTTTGGCGAAGGAACCGGAAGTGGTAAAATGCTAACTTACTTACTCTATTACTCTATGTAAATGCTGCATATGAGTCCTTCCTAAAAATCTACATATCACTGTATGACAAACATTGTCCCACTGTACTTATAAAGGTACTTATCATCAAAAGCCTTGGATAACCAAGGGTTTACAAAATGCTTGCAAGAAGAAAAATAACCTTTATAAAGACTTCATAACATTTAGGACAAAGGCAATTGAAAAGCAATACAAGGCATATAAAAATAAGTTGACAGTTATAATGAGACAAGCAAAAAGAGAATATTATAATAATATGTTAAAAGAAAAGAAAAATGATATCAAGGGCACATGGAAAATCTTAAATAATGTTATTGGAAATAAATCTGTATCCACTGGCCTGCCCAGTCACTTCATTGATGACAAACATAAGGTTGTAAAAAACATGAATGAAGTGGTACATGAATTCAACTCTTTTTTTTGTAAATGTCGGACCTAATCTTGCAAAGACTATTCCAAAACAACACGATGGGCAAAAAGAGGATGGCGGAATTGGGGGAAGTAAAGTGTTGCAGTCAATGTTTCTGGGAGAGATAAACTAAATTGAAATTAGATCCATTGTAGACAAATGCAAAAATAAGACTTCGACAGATAGTGATGGGATCGACATGACAATAGTGAAAACGACTATTGACTGCATAATTAAACCGCTAAGCTACATTTTTAATCTTTCATTTCAGACAGGTATTTTCCCAGATAGCATGAAAATAGCTAAAGTTATCCCACTTTTTAAAACAGGGGACAAAAGCCAATTTACCAACTACAGACCAGTGTTCTTGCTTTCACAATTTTCAAAGGTCCTTGAGAAATTGTTTGTCCAAAAATTTGATAATTTTATTGAAAAAAATGAGTTATTGAGTGAGAGTCAGTATGGATTTAGGAAAAATCGATCTACAGCTTTAGCTTTAATGAAAATAACAGAAGAAATTACAACAGCTATAGAAGAAAGAAATACACAATAGGTGTATTTATTGACTTAAAAAAGGCATTTGACACCATAGACCAGGGGTGCCCACACTTTTTGGGCTGGTGAGCTACTTTTGAAATGACCAGCTCACCGAGGTCTACCAACCAAAAATAAAATCCCAAATGGCAAGGGTTGCTGAATAACACGTTTTATTTATACATGGGATAATAGGGCTGCAACAAACGACTAATTTGATAATCGATTAATCTATCGATTAATGAAACGACTAATCGACTATTCAGACTATTACTGTATGCCTTGCACAATTTCTCAAACCCTCTTGTTTAGCCATCAACTTTTAGATTTAGCTTGAGGTTGTTTTAGGCATGTGGAAACTAACAATGAAGACAATAAAGATGAATACTTGATTCAAAAATACATATATTATTAAATTAACAAATTGTGAACAAAACTAACATTGCTTTTTATTTAAATTAAATAAATAATATTTCACATCAAAAGAAACAACAATGTTTTAACAAATCGTATTAAATAATCTGATGACAGAACTGTGAACAGAATAGCTGAAACTTTAACAAAATAAAGAGTACATCTGTTACCTCTATCATTAACCCATGTTTGAATCATTGAGTTAACTGCGTGTGTTGCTGCTAGCATACATAACACCTGACGTGGAAACGTTACTCGTGGATGGGGCTGCAGAGCTGCTAGAAAGACAGTCGAACCCGGTGCATTCCTCCGTCTGAATGTGGAGCACTTTTGCTAAATGTTTAGACACATTGCTCGTGTTACCGCCCTCACATGCTGAACTCTCTTGGCAAGGAGCATTGTCCACCTCAAGACGGGTAACATTTAACCACACCTTGGAGCGCTTCTCTCCGCCATCTCCTCCGTGTGTTGCTGTTGTAGCAGCCGCGTGTGTGTAAACTGCCCCGCCCCCTCGCGCACAGACCGGGGAGAGAGATCTCGTCTCGATTGGAAAGATCGAAAATACACCGACATTTGTTTGTCTTTTTGCATGTTAGAAACGAGTTGGCGACACTAAGACTGCGAGATAATGTTTTTGTAGCAATAATACATGACCTTTCTCTTTCTCAACTCGCTACTCGGAGGGAAGTCGCTGTCATATGCCTTGTGAACACTCCGATAATGCCTCTCCACGTTACCTTTCTTTGGCAGAGCGACGCTTGCTTTACAAATAAGGCAAATAACCTTTGAATGTGACATCACAAAACAATATTCTTCCTCCCATTCTGGGTGGAAGTGGTATGTCTTTAGCTTCTTGCTCGGTCCCGCACTCATTTAGTTGTTTGTCTCTTGTTTGTCTCTTTAATTAATTTGAGTTTTCCCGGCACTTGACTGATTTTGTATCGCTTTGCATTCTGGGTTAACAGACTGGAAAGCGATAGGTCGCTTTTTCTGTCAATCAAGTAAACTCCTGAATTAAGTGGCAGTGAGGCCAAGGGAGGAGGGATCAAAACCTGTTTTGTCTATTTTAACGGAACAGGATTTTTTTTTTTATGAATGACTCGCGATCTACCAGCATTGCCCCCGCGGTCGACCGGTCGCCCGCGGTCGACGTACTGGGCACCTCTGCCATAGACCATTACCTATTAATTTCGAAATTACATAGATATGATCTGAGAGGAGTAGTTCTAGATTGGTTAAAAAGTTATTTAGATAACAGACAACAATATGTAGAATTTGCTGGTAGTACATCGGAGTGTATGAACATAGAATGTGGTGTCCCACAGGGCTCGGTTTTAGGGCCTAAACTTTTTATTTATTTATGTCATTTATTATCAATGACATATGTGAAACGTCAACATTATTGCAATTTGTGTTGTTTGCAGACGACACAAATTTATTTTGTTCAGGAGATGATTTAAACATTTTAGCAAAGTCTATTGGACATGAAATAGTCAAACTTAAAAGATGGTTTGATGAAAATAAGTTAACCCTACATTTGAATAAAACGAAGTTTATGGTTTTTGCTAATAGAAAAAAAGATGAAAACATTTCACTGTCCATTGATGGAGTTTTTATTGAAAGGGTTTCTGAATTTCGATTCTTAGGTGTGACGCTGGATGAAAACCTGACATGGAAATCACACATGTTAAAACCAAAGTGTCTAGGAATATTTCTGTTCTAAACAAGGCAAAGTATTTGCTAGATTACAAGGGATTGAGAATGTTGTACTGTTCACTCATTTTGCCATTTTTCATTTATTGTATAGAAGTGTGGGGCAACACGTATATGACCAACATAAAGCCATTGTCAATATTACAGAAAAGGGCAGTAAGAATAATTCATAAAGCTGACTCAAGAGAACACACCAACAGACTGTTTTTTAAGTCAGGACTCTTGAAACTCAAAGACATAGCTGAGCTGCAGACATTATCAGTAATGCACAGGGCAACAAGCAGAATGTTACCAGCATATTTACAACAGTTGTTTGTTTTTGGATCAGACAAGGAAGACCACAGAAGGAAATTACATTTTAAGCATCCATATGCAAGGACTACTCTTAAACAAATGTGTATTTCGGTGGTTGGTGTACAATTGTGGAATTCTCAACACAAGGATCTAAAGAATTGTATATGTATTTTTCAGTTAAAGAAGTTGTATAAATTAAGAAAGATGGGAATATATGAAGCAGGATGTGAATAAGTCTATGTACTCTGGTCCTTCATGTTTTTGATGTCTTTGATGTGATGTCTCAGATGAGGGTGTTGCACTTTTCTTTTCCTTATACTGTACATGTGATGTTTTGGTGTTGTTTTGTTTCTTTCCGTTAACCGTCAAGTGGGAAATAAGTATTTTTTGTGTGTGTTTCTCTTAGTATCCTAAGATACTGTTATGTTTGGCTGTGAAAAAAAGAAAAAAAAAATATAAATATTATTATGAAGGGCAGACCATCTATTTGTATTTATTTGTTTTTTTAGAAAGGGGCAGGTCACATAAGATTCTATTCTTCTCCCTGCTCCTTTTCGCTCAATGGTAGAGTCATGTTTTGTGGCATTTATTGTACATTTGGTTTTGCGTACCATGAGCGGGACAAATACAAATGAAATGAAATGAAAAATGCAGGATCACCTTTATGACCCACATGTATTGATCCAAACTAAAACATGTAATTCAATGAAGTGAGGGAGTGGGGTTCTGCAGTGTGCTTCTGGGCGTATGTGCTAACAAGAGGTATCTCCTCCTTATTGATGTTTTGTGTTTTTCCCTGTTTGTAGGCACAGCTTTAATGAAGAAGCAGACCTGCTAACATTCTTGCAGTAGGGACCACCAGTATGGGGTCACCATGGAAACCAATTCTCCTCCTGTCAATCATCAGTGGCCTTTCAGGTAAGAAATTCAAAAGGCAGTGTTGAGAGATGTTGAGATATAATGGTTGTACGGAATATTCCTTCTAAAAGCACGGATATTAGAAGAAATTGACCGAGCACAGTGAAATCTACTGTAATAACATGACAGCAGTGCATGTGACACAGATGGGAGATCATTATTTATGCATGTGAGAAGTGTCTTGTGTCTTTTCACTCTTGAAGAGGAGGAATTCACATCTGTGAAATGAGGACTATTGCATGATTAGAAGTGAAGATGCCATGGCTCGTTGACCATTACCTTTCTTTTAGGCGTCTGAGTCTCAGGTATTTGACAGGGTTTACATACCTTTACAGAAAATATCTATGGTGGCTGTAAACATCTCTTAGAAAAAGCATCAGCCAGTGACAAGGCCACAGACCTCCCTACTTGCATAACATCATTTGAATAGCAGGGTTGATAAGCCTGACACATACTTCTTGATAAGTAGGAACATATTCTCCATTAGTGCCCGGTATATATCAAAACCTCAACACGACAGGGCTCTGCTTCATCCACTGAGTTCTCTGTTTAAATATATGTTCTGGTGCGATTAGCAGTGAATGTGTTACGGTTAGTGTTGCATGGTGTACCGATACTTGAAAGGTACCGCGATACCCTGCCGTTAAAAACGGTACGATTCCTCCGTTTCATTAGTATCGGTACTTTAAGAATGACGGGGAAAAGTACTCCGGTGAGAAAGCGCCGTTTTAATAAGAGCCGTGTGTGTTCAGCGCTCTGCTTCCACTCCCTGCACTGCAGCCGTGCCTGCAGTCCCGCCCCTCTCAAACACGTTTTAAGTCCCCCCCCCTCTCTCGTGCACGCGGCCACGCGCTAGCTGCCAGAGCATGTGAGAAAACTAGAAGCATGGCTGCAAGTGGGAGTGCAACTGCCGCTGCGCCTCGGCTTGTTGACAAAAAAGACGCTGTCATGGCCAATTTTATTTTAACATAGCTAGAGCTATCCTCCAGACATAACGCGGAATATGCAGACTGTGCTCTTCCTGTGAGCACACACTGAAGCATCAGGGCACAGTCTGCATCCAGCCAATCCCTAGCCTTAGCTAACCGTTCAAAAAGCAAAAAAAAAGTGTCAGGATCACTTTCATTAAATTGCGGTAACAAGCGCAAGTTGTTAGCATCGAACCGATTATGGGACCTGGGCACCTGTTCACCATGCCGCTCACCCAATGCCGCACCATCTCTGACCATAGAAAGACGTTGTCCTTCCATATCCAGTTTGGCTCTCTCAGTCTCCTGCCGTATCCGCTCCACTGCAATTTCCTTTTCAACCTCCATCTCATGCCTCATTTTGTCATGATTCAGCTGCAACAATAACATCTCCTTCTGCTGTTCAAAGGACAGTGAACTAGCCTGAAACAGTGGTTTTAACAACACACCTATTTTCTCTGCCGGAAACACTCCCGTTTCACCTAATGCCGTCACAATAGAGTCTTTTATAGTGCTTTTTAGCCTCTTATCGCCGACGATTTCAACCGAGAAATGTTCAGCAATTACGAGTAGCTGCTCCATTGAGAAATTGTCAAGGGCTTCCTGAGATGGAGCCCTGATAAATGCGTCTACATCTGCCATACTATCACAGAACACCGGAGCTTACACTGAGACGAAAAGCAAAAAAAAATGATTGGAGTTCCCCCACTAACTGCGGCACCCACTAACTAATCTCCTCCCTAGTCTTCATGTAGTTACTTGCGGCGGGTACTTATGCACTGGAGACCACTGGCCCAGCAAAGCGACTAGCAAGCTAGCAACAATACTGCGACCACGGTCATACCCCCAAGCCGAGGCTTCAGCCACTTTCACCACAACATTAAACACCCTGCCCAACGATCCCAAGGGAACCGTCGCTATAACCTACCAGGGGAAACTCCGCACAAATAATTAACTAACTCCCAACACCAGCTTACCTTACCGGAATGGACGAGCCCCCAGCTGTCATGGCTTGGCTCTCAGCCACAACAAACGCGCGACAGAAACGAGAGCGTGAATAGAAAAAAAAAGAGTTTATTTGGCTGCTGCTGAAGTACACAAACGGGCGAAACAAAAGGTCAGCTGGTCGTCACTGCTCTTCACGTTGCGTCCTCCTGCCAGAGAGAGAGAGAGAGCGAGATCCGGTCCAGTCCTTTATCCGGCTAGCTCCAGCCGCCAGGTGTCCTCAATTCCCGTGAGCACACACAGAGGGAGAGTCATTAAAGGGCCACACACACGCATACCCACCACCAGAGATAGTGAGGCAGGGGTCGTCACAACGCCATAAGCGAAATTTGGAAGTATTTTAGCGATATCTCTGACAGTGAGGGCAAGCCTACAGACACCACAAGGCCTGTCTGTGAGAAATGTTTTAGATCCCTGCAAACCAAGGGAGCCAACACATCAGACTTGGCTAAGCACCCGCCGACCGGAATCCAGAGCTGTTTAAAGAATTTAAAGACAGACAGGTTAGCGAATGTGATAGATAACATAATTACATCATGCTCAAGCCCATGCCCTCAAATCTAAGTCAAACCAGTGTAATTTATTTTGTGACAAACGAGACAATTAATGGCAATGATAACATCTGCAATATACATTTTGTCAATAATTATTTATATTACTGTACTATTACATGTTAATAAAATATAAAACAAATTATATTTTATAAAACAAAAAAGTTGTTTGAGATGATGCTTAATTTGATTTAATACGAATTATTGTCATTTATTTTGTTTATTGTTCTCATTGTTTAAAAGTTTTTGTTATGGTTCTGGTGTGAAATAAAGCACAATAATTACATTTAAGACTGTTTCCCTTTTTTTAAGAAAAGTATCGAAAAAGAATCGGAATCGCAATTCTTGACTTGGTATCGGTATCGAAACCAAAATGTTGGTATCGTGACAACACTAGTTACGGTCACTGTTTAGATCGTGGAAAGAGGTAGGACCCAAAATGCAGACTACAAAAAGATAAAGATCTATAAACAAAAGCAAGCTTTATTCTTAAAAAAGCCGATCAACAAAAAACATGACAAGGATAATACATAGGTCACACAAGGAAGATAACATACCCAAAAAACGATCGTGACCAACAGGAAGGGAGAAAGGGAAAACAAACAATAAACCGACACCGAACACAGGAAGAGACAAGACTAAATACAGGGAGGGGTAATCACGAGACGAGAAACAGCCGGGCAGGGAAGGAGAAACACAAGGGCAACAGGTTAACACAATCAGACAATTAGACACACCAGGGAAACTAACGACAGGGAGGAAAACACAGGGAGAAGGACCAGACAAGAAACAAGGAGGAAAACATGACAGGGAGAACAGGGGGGTATACTACGAAGCAGGATTTTCGCTTAGCCGGCTAACTTCAGGGAAAACTCGGGGTTTCCGGTCCTACGAAGCTGGTTCTTTTTTTAGCAGGCTAGATCTCCATGGTAACTTATGCTGTGCGGCTAACCAGGGGGGTATACTACGAAGCAGGATTTTAGTTTAGCAAGATAACTTCTGGGATTTCCGGTACTACGAAGCTGGTTTTTTAGCTTTTAGCGGGCTAGATCTCCATGGTGACTTATCCTGGAACCTAGTATGTGCTCTGATGCAGGATAGGTTCCAGGATAAGATATCAACTCAGCGAAAGCACCACGCCTGCTGACCAATCATAGCTCAGTGTGCGGAGGAAATACTGTTTTTAACTGCCGTTGCAGGAAAGACGGCCGGCCAAAATCACCGACTGTGTGAACGTGAAAATGAATAGAACATCACCTCCCATCTTCAGAGCAGTCTGACTATTATAACTATTATACTATTATGTTAAGAAAGCTTAATTAAATATCTGCCACAAAATAAGTAACCGGATCAAAGTAACATTACGTTGCCTACAGTCCGCGGCACTGTGAGTGCAGACGTCGATATGTCCCATTATCATTCATATCACATCATAATGTATCATATATTTCCTTATCTGAGTCAGCTGAGCCGTATCTGGCTGTGCAACACTCACAGTGTCACATAGGCTACTGTATGCATAAGTATTATTTTAAGCAACACATTAAGTTGACGAAACACTCGAGTCAAATGTAATTAAAGTCAGATCCACTCGTGTCTTGGACAGGGCATTGATATCATAAACCTGTTAATGTACGCATTCAAAAACGTTTTCTTTTATCAGCTGTATTCACCTTGCAGGTGCAGCTATGTGGTTTTGATCCTGGATAAAGTGTTTAAGTCATGGATGTTTAAAGTTTAACTTCTTCATATTTGACTAATATTATAGTTTCATTTCACTTTTCATTCAGGAAGTATGACGATGCGCTGTCAGTACGCTTCTCCATGTTTGTGATTGGTCGAATGCTCCAGATACCACCCCTTTCATGTGAACGCGCACCTAACTAGATAGGACACGGCTGGCTTGAGCGAATGAGTTGATAGCCAGCGTTGTAGGACAGTTTAGCGAGAGCGGCTTAGTTTTGGATTAAGTCAACCGGATAACTCAAAACATATCCAGTATAGGTTGAACTAGATTCGTAGTATACCCCCCTGGTCGGGACCAGGTTAGGTTGCAGGCTAAGAGATCAACTCAGTGAAAGCACCGCCTGCTGACCAATCAGAGCTCAGTGTGCGGAGTTTAAAGCGATCAAGTCATATTACAGGAGAAAGGAAATACAGAAAAGCTGCCGTTGCAGGAAAGACGGCCGGCAAAAATCACCGACTGTGTGAACGTGAACATTAATAGAATATCACCTCCCATCTTCAGAGCAAGCTGACTATTATAACTAGGGGTGCACCGAATGGGAAATTCTTGGCCGAAACCGATACCGAAAATAGGAAACAGTTGGCCGAAAACCGAATGCCGAAAGGCCGAAAATGATTAATAGAAATATATATATATAATGTATACATTTTTTACCAATGTTGTTCAGCTACCTGATTATGGAAATAGACATGATTATGGCAAAACTTAACTTAAAATAATAATCACTAT